AGATAAGATTTCGTTGCGGCAGCCTAATTAGAACAGTCAACATGCCTGGACGACCAAGTGACAAGCTTACGTTTGGTTTACCGGACACATGTTGGACTTTTGTTAGCAGGTGGCAAAGGAATACTGGCAGACAATTCGGACACGTTGGACTTTCAAAGGGTGAGAAACCCTTTTTCACTAGAAACCCGGACCAGCTCACCGAGGCCCGTCCCTACGTTGTTGCGTTGCGTCCAAAGCCAGCTCGAGGCCCTTTCGGCTGCCTCGCCCAGTTTTTTAAGTGTTCGTTTCCGTTCATTACCGCGCAATCCTAGTTCTTTAACCACATTGTACAATGAAGTGGAGACGAGACCTCGCGCTCCCACTTCGACGACAAAGACACGTACCGTGTACGCCTCGTCTCTCCTCAGACCGGCTGCTAAGTCAAAATATTTCTCGAGCTTATATGTGTGACTCTCGTCCATACGCGACTCATACGGGACGGTAAGCTCAATCAGGATGAGCTGCCGTTTCTCCGCAGAGTGGAGAGCTATGTCAGGTGGCAGGCCGGTCTCCGGATTAACTCGGGGTACCTTTCATGGCCTGGCAGATCTACCGCCAGTAACCAGTCCCTCGCAGAGTCTAGCACAGATGGAGCGAATTCGTTTCGGTTGACCTTACCTTTTTGAATCTGCCCAGCCTTGAGGAAACGAATGGGGACGATGGTAGAACTGGCTCTAGCGTTAGCCCTCATTCTAGCCTGGTCTATCAGATAACTTCGAATCGTAAACGCGACCAAGGCTCTTCACCGGTTCCTCCAGAACCGTAGGGATCTTGTACCTTGCCACCGTAAAACTGGTTGCCGACACCTTGCCCTTAAGGATAGACAGACTCCTCGACTTCTGCTGTTTGAACTGCAGACCGCTCCATTGGACCACCGCGTCCAATCTTTTCTTTATCGTGCGGGCAGACTCCTCGCTGCCAGTTATAATAGTCGTGTCATCCATAAATGCGCGTAGTGGCTGCATCCAGTGATCCCCTATTTGAAGGCCCTGTCAGTAGCCGGCCGCCCCGTCTAACATGATCTGCATGGCCATGACAAACAGTATTGGTGAGATCGTACAGCCCATAGCTATCCCAATCTGCAGCTCAGTCCATCTCGTGGTAAACGTCGAGGTAGAGAAGCGCAAAGCGAACTTAGAGAAATATTGCTCGATCATATCATTGACCTGTGCCGGTACGTGGAACATGCGAAGGGCTCGCCACAGTAGCCTATGGGGGACTGCCCCGTAGGCGTTGGCTAAGTCCAACCAAATTACGTGCAATTGAGTTCTCTCATGCTTGGCTCTCTGAATAGCCTCCCAAATCACGGTCGCGCTGTCAAGGCACCCAGGAACGCCCGGAATACCACCCTTCTGAACACTCGTATCTATGTACTTGTTAGCCATCAGATACTGTGTGAGCCGGCGAGCCATGACCGAGAAGAATATCTTACCCTCGACATTCAACAGCGAGATGGGCCTGAATTGGGAAAGACTCTTCGAGTCCTGCTCTTTGGGAATGTAGACCCCATTCGCCTTTTGCCATTCTGGACATATGTGAAGCATTTTTAGGATTTTCGGGGAACGCTTGAAAAGAACGTACGGAACACCATTCGGACCTGGGGCAGACTTGCCGCTGGCCTTTTTGACAACTTCCTCAACCTCAGACCAAAGGGGAGGTATCATTTTAAATGGTACCTTCGGCAACTCAGGCTGCTTGAGGCCGCTAGGGATCTCTGGATTGTCATCGAGAGGCTCTCTCCTCTTTTTGTCGGAGTACATCTTGCGTAGATGTAACTCAAGCTCTTCCTGACTGACAACCAGAGTCCCAGACTTCGGTTGCTCGAATAGACCTCGTGCAAACTGATACGGGTCCCTAAAGAATTTCTCTCGCTCCCTTTTGGTTCTTTGTCTGTTGGCACAGAAACGCTCAGCGCGACAGACGGCACTGTTTCTGTTCTTTAAATGCAACCAGACTTCATACAGCCCCTCCCGTTCGCTGCCTGTAGCGGCTTTGAACCGTTTTCTGAGGGCATTCTTGTCTGCCCGACACTTCAGAATGTCCCTCTGCCTCCTGCTAGTATTCTGCTTGGCACCCGGCTGTGCCTTCTGCACTGTCCCGAACTTCGCGGGAGCAGTGTTCATATATAACATCACCAAATTTTGTAAGCTTGTCGCCTAACGACTTCTTGTTTAAATCATGTTTAAGTATCTCACACAATGTAGCCTCGAACTTACACCACACCACCTTATCGCTCGCAGGTGGAAACCTGATCTTGGAACGCACTTCCTCATAAATCATCAAATGTGCTCCTCCGCAGTCAACGTCATGGGCCTCTCCGGGCGAGTGGGGTTCACCCTGCCCGTCGTTCCCTGACGACTCAGAAACTACCACAGGAGTACTAGTTTTGCGACGGCGTTTACTGCGATGCCGGGGTCCAGTCTTTCTGCTTAGATCTAAACAATGGGCATGTCAGGTCGGTAGCTGCATGCCATTTTACCATATTGACACCGGACGGTAACACATCGAAGGCAGATCGTACGATAAAGCTCAGTCGCAGCGGGGCCATTTGCCAGATTTCACCCCATGTGATTACTCGTGGCAAGGCGCTTTCGAGGCCGATCAACTGGCCTTGCTGCAACTGTTTTCAGCGTCCCTCATCTGCTGTATTACCATGTCTCGGCATTCTTCGGTTGTGGCTTTGGACCACAAACTGACTTTCCCATGTCCTAGGCCTCGACGGCCAGTTTGTGGTAGCCGATCACTTCTTTCAATTTCAGTGCATCTTGGGCAGGTTCAATCGCATCTAGGACTTTCCATTTCTGAGCGGGCTGAACAGCAGTGACCGTGGGGTCTGAAGACTCCCACAGCATCATCGCGAGTCTTACTTTGCCAACTTTAAACTCTTCGGTTTAGCTATGAAATTGCAACAACATCTAACATCCATGAATGAAGAATGTAAAACAAATAATATGAGAATCAACACTGACAAGACAGAAGTAATGTCAATAGGAAAAATAAGGCAGATCTAAACATAGCAATAGAGTGCAAAGGCATTAAACAGGCAGCTGAGTTTAAATATCTGGGAACTACATTTACCGAAGATGGGAAATTGGATAAAGAAATTGACATTAGATGCAGTAAAGCAAACCAAGTATTGGGACAGCTAGCCCCCCTCTTACAGCATAAGACAATCCCAATCAGCACAAAGAGACATCTTATTCAAAGCATATTTATTCCAACTCTGTGCTACCAGTGCCAGACATGGTCACTCACAACAAACCATAAAAGAAAATTAGTAACCACGGAAATGAGATGTCTGAGAAGGGCTGTAGGAGTGACCATAAGAGATAAGATCAGAAATGAGATCATAAGAGACCAAGTCGGCACAGAACCAATCCTGGATTACATACAAAGACAACAAGTGAAATGGTTTGCCCACTTAGAGAGAATGCCTTGTGACACCATACCATACAAAGCATACATGGCAAGAGAAGAAGGACGTAGAGCACGGGGTAGACCAAGAACAAGATGGAAGGATAACATCAGAGAAACTCTACAACAGTACGATGTGCCTATGGTCGAGGCAGCCAGAAGAGCTAGAAACAGAACCTTATATCTCCCTCGACACCCACAGCGGTAAAAGAGGAAGTGAAAAAGAAGAAGAAGAAGAAGAAACTCTTAGGTTATTGATTTGAACGGAAGTACCAGCTTAGCCTGCTCACAATACAGAGCCACATCAGCCAGACAAGGCGGTGCTCGCAACCACTTCCTCATGGCTGTGTTGATTTTACGATCCATTGTCTCCACTGCAGTCATCGTCACTTTGTAGACGAGCAGCGGCCAGAGAAGCCTTGGGATCAACATAAATTGGGGACACCAAACCTTAAACTTTCCGATTAACCTGCAACCAAAGATTTAAACGGCTAATGTGTTACCACTGTGATGTCCATGACTTACCGTTCACATGTAACAGTGAATAAACTTACGATTTTAATGCTGACAATATTACCACAGAGATCCATGACTTACTGCTCACATGTAACAATGAATAATTCAAAGAGTTTCACATTAATAATGTTACTACAAAGATGTCCATGACTTACTGCTCACATGTAACAATGGATAATACAATGAGTTTCACATTATTAATGTTACCACAGAGAGGTCCATGACTTACTGCTCACATGTAACAATGAATAATTCAAAGAGTTTCATACTGATAATGTTACCCCAGAGAGGTCCATGACTTACTGCTCACATGTAACAATGAATAATTCAAAGAGTTTCACATTAACAATGTTAGCACAGAGAGGTCTATAACTTACCTCTCACATGTAACAATGGATAATTCAAAGAGTTTCACATTAATAATGTTACCATAGAGAGGTCAATGACTTACTGCTCACATTTAACAATGGATAATTCAAAGAGTTTCACATTAATAATGTTACCACAGAGAGGTCCATGACTTACTGCTCACATGTAACAATGGATAATTCAAAGAGTTTCACATTATTAATGTTACCACAGAGAGGTCCATGACTTACTGCTCACGTGTAACAATGAATAATTTGAAGAGTTTCACATTAGTAATGTTACCACAGAGAGGTCCATGACTTACTGCTCAAATGTAACAATGAATAATTCGAAGAGTTTCACATTAGTAATGTTACTACAGAGATGTCCATGGCTTACTGCTCACATGTAACAATGGATAATTCAAAGAGTTTCACATTAATAATGTAACCACAGAGAGGTCCATGACTTACTGCTCACATGTAACAATGGATAATTCAAAGAGTTTCACATTATTATTGTTACCACAGAGAGGTCCATGACTTACCGCTGACATGTAACAATGAATAAACCAACGATTCTAACGCTGATAATGTTACCAGAGAGAGATCTGTGACCTACAGCTCACATGTAACAATGAATAAACTAAAGAGTTTCACACCGATAATGTTATCACAACTTACCGTTCACATGTAACATGACTTCTCTGATTTGAACAGGGTCTGTGTTTATTTGACACTGGTAGAATCCGGCATCAGAGGTTTTCACGTTGTGTAGGTGAAGGTTCCACTCCTTGACATACGGTCTCTCTAGGCTTACCCGGTCGTCAAAGATGATTCTACGATCGTCTAGTGTCAAAATCTTGCCTCTGGGACTTTGCCAAACAAC